GGGGAGGGGGGAGAAGAGCTATTTATTATAGGCCAGATGGGACACCAGAGCCAAAGAAGGGCGAGGCTGGTTTTCACACACCCAGTGGAGAGGCTTCAGGACCAAATGAGACCGGGAGATATCCACACCGGAGGGGTAAAACTCCAGAGATGGGAAGCAGTTTATATTGGAAAAGTGATCAAATAAACATTAACAGATTTCTCATTGCTTAATATGGAAAGGAACAAACACATAAAGAATACTTTGTTGTTAAACTGACTCTGGGAGGCATTCACAGGTTTTAATGTGCACAGACCTATTTTTACGTGCAATAAGTGGGGTGCAATAAATGAGTGCCATACACATGCATATACCACATATGAGCATGCATGCCCTCTCTATGCTCATAGAGGGCCTGGAAGAAATGACAGATACTCCACAGCACAGGCCCAGATGCTGCTTCTAAAGAGCAGCTGTCATTTCAAAATAATAGGGCTCCTTAGAGATACGGTTGATTCCAGGGCTGAGGAAAGGACTGTTCAAGAAGAGCTGGAACATTCTGTTGTGCCAGAAAGCAAGGATGGAAGGATGAAGGGGCCGTGTCAAAACAAACCAAATTTGAAAGAGGCTCCACTAATGAGATCGAAACAATCTAAACAACAACAAAAATTAGTGGTCACAGATTACAACCCTTTGAATAAAACAGGCAATGGAGCCCATACAGATAAATGAAATAAGTAAGTTAAGTCTAATGAGAAGTAGATTATGGACTTTCAAAGAACCTCCACAAAAACACTTATAAATTACAAAGACTGAAGGAGATAATTTAACAGATGATAGTCCTACTTTAATCGAATAATTAGTGGCAACACCAAGAAAAAGATCACCCAATAGGATACAATGGGAACAATGAAGAAACACTTCTGTGATTAATTACTATCAAAAACACAAAACCAGAATCTTATAATATTATGATGAAATACGACATGACTCAAACTGAGGGCCATTCTAGAAATGAATGGCCTGTAATTTTCAAGCACTGAGTCCATGACTGAGAACCTAAGACTGAGAAGTCAGCTCAACAGACACTAGCAAGACACAAAGCCCAACCGTGAAGTGAATTGAGTTTTGAACTAAGACATCACTGAGGTACAAGAAGAGGTTTGCTGTGGCAATCTGACAGATGCCAGTAAATGATTCACTGTGAACTTCCTGATGTGATGCTTACTAAAGACAATGTCCTTACTTCAAAAAATAAACATCAATGTGTAGTGGAGTGATAGGGCATTGGATGTTACCAATCACACTATTTAGGAAAAACAATTCTTTGTACTAAACTTAAATCTTGTCATAAGTTATTTCAAAAAGTAACTTTAAAAGAAAAAAAAAAAAA